AACATACCATCAGAAATAATAATAATAATAATAATACTATGGTAAATATCTAACAACTGCCTCTGAGTGGAGAACTTGTATTTATGACACACTTTTAAATTTAATCGGCATTATCAACATTTTCCTCACCACTTTCTTAAGTCTGGATAATCAACAAAACAATAAATCAAGCCCTGACTCGTTGAGTCTGCTGATTTCTGAGGTGTAACTACTTATAACTGAAAATTTAACAAATGGGCCAACTGAAGCTGGTTCCAGTGCATGTATGGATAATAAGGCATAGACAGTCCCTCACCTTGAAGAACTCAGTTTATAGGGAAAGATAAGACATGGGAAAACAACTATAATACCAAGAAGTTTGTGTTGCTACAACAGAGATACAAAGTGGTACAGGAATTTAGCTTAAAGAAATCACTTCTAGCTAGAGAATCATTAGGCAAGGTTTGATGTCAGTAAACTGTTCTAATATATTTATGATAGGGATACCATCTTCAATTTAGTATGATCTGGCAACCTCTGTCCTTCCAACATCTCAAAATGGACATACAGTTTGAGATGTCCCTGGCATGGTAATCAAGTCTCTCTATTCCCAAACGGATGGGCAGGATGGAAAAAGTCCTCAAATTGAAGTAAGAAGACAAGATTTGAATCTCACCTCTGTTACCTGTTTGTCCTTAATCATTCCACTACATTAAGGCCTCATTTTCCCCTCGTGAAAAATGAAGTGGTTGGACGATATGATCTCTAAGACACAATCCAGCTCTAAATCTTATGGGATTAAATGCTTTCTGGCTAAACAAAAACACACCAAGCACACATTTCCAGTGGCACTCTGTCTAACCTGGATGTCTAATCAGTCCTGATTTCATTCTTCACTGTCCCACCTTCATGCAATTTGCACAGGCAATTTGCACACTTTCCTAGAATAGGAGACCAGGCAGTCAATCAATAAACATTTATTAAGCACCTACTATGTGCCAGGCACTGTGCTAAGTGCTGGGGATACATAGAGAGGCAAAAGATAGTCCCTGCCCTTAAGGAGCTCACAATCTAATGGGAGAAGATAACATGTGAACATATGTGCAAACAAGCAACATACAGGATAAAAAGGAAATAATTAAATGAGGGAAGGCACTAGAATTAAGAGGAGTTATAAAAGGTTTCCTATAGAAGATGGGATTTTAATTGGGATTTAAAGGAAGCCAGTAGACAAAAGATGAGGAGAAAGAGCATTCTAGGCATGGGGGATAATCAAAGAAAATACCTAGAGTTGCTTTTCACCTTTGGTGTCCATCAGATTCACCTAACTCTTATCTGTGGCTCCAAGAAGTTGTAGCATGTGCAGCAGTCACATTTCGGTAAAGCATTTTGGCAGACAGATTAAACAAGGGGGTATCTACTCCAAGCACATAAAGATACCCCCCTCACCTTGACTACTCCCTGCAAAATGGTCAGATAAGAACAGGAAGGCAGCTGAAGCAGATGCTATGGAGCACTTGGAGCTTGGTTGGACACCAAAGACACCGAGGTCATCCACTGCATCCCAAGTCATCACTAGTCAAGTCTTGACTTTTGCCTTGCCGCTGGACTTTGATGGCTCTGGAAGAGAGTGAGGCCAAGGACTTACCAAAACTCTGCCTCACTTAAATCCAATTAATGTGTGAGTCAAAAGACATCACTCACTCAAAGACATGCATGGTAGGGTGTAAAATGTAAGAAGACTAGATGGAAAAGAAGGAAGGAGTTAGGTTTTATGAAGGTCTTTGAATGCCAAATAGAGGATTTTGTATGTGATCCTAGAGGCCATAGGGAGTTTATTATTAAGTACGGAACTGATCTGTACTTAGGATTATCACTCTGGTTACTGAATGGAGGACTGGAGTAGAGAGAGACTTGAGGCTCTAACAGCAAGATATTACAATAATCCAGGTGTGAAATGATGAGGGCCTGCACCAGAGTAGCAGCAGTGTCAGAAGTGGAAGAAGTCACCTGGGTATTGAGCTTGAGGAACTGGGAGGATGGTATTGACCTCTACAGTAACAGGAAAGGTAGAGGGATGGGGGAGGGTTTGGGGGAAAGAGAATGAGTTGGTTTTGGACATCTTGAGTTTAAAATGCCTACAAGATATCCAGTTTGAGACGCTGGAAAGACAAAGGTGCAAGATCATGGTAAATTGAAAAAAGTACTGGGCTTCGAGTCAGAAAACCTAGATTCAATTCCTAGCTCTTAACAGTGACCATGTGAGTCTCAGTTCCTCACCCATAAAAATGGGACCTTCATTCATTCATACTTGCACTATCCACCTCATAGGGCTATTGCAGAGAAAGCATTTTTATAAAGCTTTAAGTGCTAAATCTAAGGTATTATCATAGAAATCTTCTTCCTTTAAGGCCCAGCTTAGGTCCAACATCCTCCACTGAAACCTTTCCTAACAACTGCACTTAAAAATGTTATCTCCTTTTTTGAGTATTCTTCAAGGACTTTCCCGGCATCTTGTCTTAACCTTAATCACATTCCACCTATTATCATACTTAATTGTTCATGACTTACATATCTTCTTTATTAGAATGCAAGCCCCTTTAGGGCAAGAACCATCCACCTATCTTTCCATATGTGTATCCCAAGGCCCTACTGCTCATAGTAGGCACTTTTAATGCTGGTTGAGTTGAACTGGATTGGGAGCATACCTACAAAATCAAGGCAATTACTTAAGACCATCTCCTATCAGGAAAAATACAACAAAGTTTCAGGAAGTTTCCTGAAAAATGAGCTCACAGTTTCATGTGAACTTCACCTGACCAGTAACTGTGAGAATCTCTCAACCAGGTTAACAAATATTCCCCAGAACAAAGGAAAAAACAAAACTGAGTAATGCACAATCAACCCAAATATAGCAATCAATTCAGAAAATTCATGTTTCCAAAAGAATTTCCCAGTCCTACTGGGTAATAATGAGTGGGAAAAATAAAAGATAAAACTAACCAGGGCCCTTCATAAACAGAAAACTCAGTGAGGAAGGCAAAAGGAATTACAGATAAGTGGGGAAGATGGCCAGGTTTAGTATCTCCATAGTTCTCAACCTTTCTGGTCACTGGTCACTTCATTAGAGCAAAACACTTCTTTTCCTAACTCCTTTCAGGTCAAAGAGCTTTGATCTACAACAGTCTTAGGTACCAGCCCCACTGCTAGGAAAAGGGAAATAAGTTTGGGGGGTGGGTAAAGGAGGGAAACCAACTTCAGCATTTTTTTGGTCAAAATGGAAACCCTGTCCAATGCTCCCTCCCAAGCTATTCCAAAGTGAGTATTCAATAACAGAGGCACTGGGTCTATAGTCCTGCCTCTTTTCTCTTTCTTCCTGCAGATTGGGAATCTCACCCCAAAACCAACATATTCTGCGGTTGAATCTAGTTTACGCCCCGATCTTCATTTTGAAAAAGAGACATGGATAAGAGATGACACCTGAGCAGGCAAAGGAGCTGTGGTTTCCGACATGAGGTTTCCCTTTACCAAAGCAGATGTTACCTTACCTAGAACATAAATTCTAGGGACTTACATAGAGGTCCTCTGGTTCCCGTGGCTCACAGAGGTCCAGAGTTATACTTCTAGTAAATGTCAGAGATGGGATGCGAACCCAAGTCTTGCCGATTTTACGGTGATTCTCTATCCACTACATCACACTATCTCACCTAGCAAAAAGACAATGCCTGCCCTCAATGTCATTAATAATCACTGAGACAATTTAATGACAAAGAATTCATCGAAGAAAAATATACCACCTATCCCTCCTGGGAGCGACTAAATAAATGTTTGTGGCTGCTGCTGACGGACAGTATTTATATGATGCTTTAAGATTTGCAAAGAGTTTTGCATATGTGAACTCATTTTATCCTGATAACAATTTTATCCCACCTGAGGCAGATGTTAATTATTATCATCCCCATTTTATGGGAAGGTTAAACCAGATGACCTCTGAGGTCCCTTCCAGTTCTTCAATTCTTACTTATTCTTCATAATTTTGTGTTATCTTTGCAGCAAGTATAAAGCAAAATAAAATTATGTACTGTAATGATGCTATTCAAGGAATTATCAAATCCTGATTTCCCATACAAATGAATACATAACAAAATTTTTAAAGGTCAAATAACAAGAATTTGTCAATATAATTCAATATAATTAACGACTCATGTATTATTTTTTGGAGAAGAAAAATTATGAGTGCGATTAATTTCATTGTCTACCTATAACCACATTGGCCACTGTCGGCTAGACAGAAGAAAAGTAATGCACAAGAGAGGAAGTGCTTTTAAATTGTTAAAATGGCAAGAAACCAGTAGTCAGAAGGAGAATGAGGAAGTGATGCAAAGGATTTAGGTGATCTCTTGCCCATGGAATCTTCTGCTAAGGCATTAAAAAGTCGGCCAAGTAGAGTATCAGCTCCTAATCTGACTGTATTATCTAAGTTCAAAATGGCCAATGGCAGCTCTGAACATGTTGGCAACAACTCAAGAGGCTCTCTGAACCATTCTCTTATCCCTTCATTAACTTCCCTACTCCCACAAACAGCTGTAGTTGGTCATGTGTGGAAGAGGAAGGAATGGAGAGGGACATCGGGGCCTGGCCCTTGACCAAAAACTAACAGAGCTCAGATGGATAGCAGAGAGAGCACACACATATCCATATACACTCAATTACAGGAGTGAACATCTATCTTGAAAATATCTACCAACTCATGATGAGTCTCAGCAAGTATCACTAACACTTTCTGTCTCTGTTATTTAGTCTTACTCTGTGCTTTAGCAACTTACAGGATCACAAAGTCATAGAATAATAAAGTTAGACCAGAACTTAGAGTTCACTCAGTCCCAACCCTTAATGTTACAGCTGAAGAAAATTAGGTTCAGGTCACCCAGCAACCCAATGGAAATGGAAGCCAATGGAAAAGCCAAAACTAAAATTCAGGTCTCTTGAACTGATTTCTTGATCCCCAATCTGGTGCTTACCATATGTCACATGATGAGCAATCGTTTTCAGACAGTCATCCATCTAAAATCAAATTAGGATGAAATCTAAATTAAAATCAAATCTAGAAGCAAAAATAGCATTGGACTCTACAAATAGTAGCATACAACCACAAACCCAAGGATGTTTCCCACAGGTTACAGGGTAAAACAGGGTGTTGGTCGATGATGACATACCCACATATAATATGAAGAAATTGGCCAGTCTCAGACTCAAATATAAGTTATCCTTAACAACCCGAGTTGACCTGACCACAAATGAAACCAATGTTAGAACTGCTTATATACCTACTGCTTAATTCCCTTTTAGTTAGCATTGATTTTCTTTGGCTTTTGGATTTAAGAGTTCTATTTTCTTTATTTACCATATTGGTAAAATGTTCTCATAAGCACAGCTCTTTGTCAAACTGCTCCAGTCCCTCAGCATTTTCAGGACCTTAATCAGTACTTGACTTCCCCTTTCTTCCTCTCTGTTTGGATTTGCTGGATATTATGAGTGCTGAGAGACTTTCTGGATATGCGCACAGTGACATATACTAATACATGCCCCACAAAGATCTGTTAACTCTCTACGAAATTGTTTAAGGCCATGAGATGAAGAATGCTAAGGCTACAGAGAGCTTTTAAAAATGATGAGAGGGGCAGCTAGGTGGCACAGTGGATAGAGCACCTGCCCTGAAGTCAGGAGGACCTGAGTTCAAATCCGGCCTCAGACCAAACACTTGACACTTACTAGCTTTGTGACCCTGGGCAAGCCACTTAACCCCAATTGCCTAATAAATAAATAAATAAATAAAAATAAAAATGATGAGAGTTCAACCTTCAGCTTCACTAAAATTTAGAAAGGGCACATCCCTTACAAGAGTACAAGCAACAGAAAGGAGAATCAAGAGCAGACTTCCCCAGTCTAAGCCATGGCGGTAGCTGGGGCAATGACAGAGTTCCTGCCAAAGCAGATATATGAATGTCCACTCAGCACAAGGTCAAGAGTGCAGGGATTGCACCTTCTAGGGAAAGAAGGGAATTTCCTGATGCAGCGAGTTCCTTGGAGAAATAAAAAGAGGGCAGTTCACATAGTAGCTACATAGCATCCTACCTGGGGATGAGAACCAGTGAATTATTCACAGTGTGGGTCATACGGGAAGGGAACTGCTTATTTAGCAGACCTCAAAGTATGTTTACCTTCCGGGAGGAGGCTAAACCACATAGTGATACTATGAGTCTTAGGGAGACTGTGTAGGGCTCTGTGGGAAAGAGAGACTCAGCAGTATCTCAAAAGGGCTGCCTGATAGCAACCCCAAGTTCAGTTCCATTCCATGGACAGCTGATGCGCTTTATTTATTTTCTGTTTCTTATGTATGAGCTCCAGTTAATCTTCTGTACCTTATACACGCTTTCTCTATCAGTGAAATAAAGGCTGTCCCAGATTTAATATCTACACTGTACCTTGAATGCTAGCCTAGGAACTGAGGAACTTTTGGTTCACATACAGGGAAATCTAGAGAAGAGTAACCATTAAGTGTATTAGGAGATTTTCCTGAAGTAACTCCAAGTTGGGGCAATGAGCCAAAGAAACAAAAGTGGAACCACTTGGGGTCAGCCCCCAAGACTGGACCACAAAGGAAAGAAGAGCTGGAAGACATCTGACAGGAGTAGCACTGAAACACTGAAACAAGTTTGAGGTGGTAGCTGAGTTTGTTAAGAAGGATATTTCTAAAGTAAAGCGGGGTTGAGGGTGGGGGGAGAAACCTATACACACAACACCCCCCAAATTTCTCCCCAAAAAGATAATGGGATACTTCCACTGCCCCCACCAACCCCCCTAGTGCCTTATTAGTCCAGGTTCTTTGGTGATACCTGGGGTACAAATGCCATCAAAAAAGTAAAACTAAATTCTAAATCTTAACAATTAAAAATCATTCTTAGTGTATCATACCAGAGTACTCAGCATTTTCTACAGCCACTATGTATGTGTGTATATATAGAAAAATGTCACAGAAAAGAAATAAACCTTTCTGGAAAAAAATTAAAATAAATATAAAAAATTAAAATAAAAAAAGTTATTTTAAGTAATATATTGTTGGTCTAGCTGTGAAATGGTCCAATAATTCTCAAAAGAAACTCAGAATTGTGCTAAAAATAAGACTAAAATGTCCATGCTCTTTGACCCAGAAATCCAACTGCTAGGCATATACCCCAAGAAGTTCAAATCCAGAAAAGTACCATATAGATCCAAATATTCATAGAAATTTTTTGTGGTAACAACCACAAAAAAAAAACAAAAACAAAAACAGAAACTAAGTAGATGTTCATTGACTGGGGAATAACTGAACAAAGTATGTACATCAATGTAATGGAATATTATTGTACCATAAGCAACAATATAAAGAATTCAGAGAAAAGCATGGGGAACCTTTCTATTTGAACCAACATAGAGTGAAGTCAACAATACCAGGAAAACAATATACACAATGACTAAATAATGTCAACAGAATGAACAGACAAACAAAAACCCAAAACAACACGCTGTGTAATTATAATAGCCAAAACTAGTCCCAAAGGAATTATGAGAAAATTATCTTTCTTCCTGTCTTTAGATGTAGACCACTGTATACATGTCATCTATTTTTCTTTTCTTTTTCATTCTGTATCAAGGTCTGGCTCACTTAGTGACAGAATAGAGGAGAAGCTATATCAGGAACTGGTGAAATATATATATATATATATTTTTTAAATCAATGAAAATTTTTAATTGTTTTTAAGAAGCTGATTTTAAGAATTAGGAGCACAGTTGGTTTAAGGGGACTCCAAACTAAACCAACTGGTCTAAACTACTTTTAAAAATCAAAGGAAAACCAGCACACCGAGCTGTCTAACACGACATAGTGGACTTTGGCTTTTACTTCATTAGCTTGTAAGTAGGCCAAAAAAAAAAAAAAAGTATCAATCTGTTCTTCATCTCCAGGGTAAAGTACAGGGCTCTTTGACTACAGCGCACCTTCCTAAATGACTCATCTCTAACAACAGTTAAAACAAACGAACTGTGGGTTTAAGGTGGTTGTTGTTGTTTGTCCTTCCTTCCCGAAGAGGACCGTGACATCAGGAAGGTGATGCCACGACTTGCAAATGAATTGGATTTCAGTGAGGCAGGGCTGTGCAAATTCTCATCCTCTCATTCTCTCCCCTGGAGACATCAGGACGACTAGAGACGGCCCCAGATACAGAGGGAGACCTTGGCCTTTTTTTCATGCTCAAGGTGAGGCGCCATTGGTATACTGTGATACAGAAGAAATTAGAAAACTCAAAGGATAATTAAGGTAACACCTTATTCCAATTTCTTAACCAGGATTACAAAAGTGACATGAGATCTAAAGAGAATTTGTACTGGTCTAGACTTGGGCAATGATAAAGACAACAGCTCTTCAAAACATCATCATTTAAGAGCTGTAAGGGACCTAAGAGATATAGAATTTATAGCATGAAGAAACCTTAAAGATCATTTAGTCCAACCTAATCATTTCAGAGGTGAGGAAACTGAGGCTCAGAAATGACTTGACCAAGGTCATTCAGCTAATAAGTCCCAGACTGGCTAGAACATACCATAGGTCTTCTGATTTCAAATCCGGTGCGGCTACCACTCCCTTCTCTCCTCACCATCCTGCCCGTGTAACCTGTTATCCTCCCAAACATGCAATCACACACCCCAACTCAGACACCTGTGAATTGTTCTTTCCTCATTCACCGGCCTATCTCTTCTTGCAGCTGTAGAAATTCAGAGATAGCATGGCTGATTCCATTTCCCAAGAGTCTTTCAGCAACAGCAACTCTGCTTGGTCTTCCTGTCTCCAAAGCAGTGGTTGCTTCCTGAACCACTTAAAATAAGTTTTTTATTGATGTCTTTTGTTTTTGACATCACACTCATTTCCAGATAAATACCCCATCAAATCCCAACTTGTAACGAAGAAAAACAGTTAAGTAAAACTGAATAAAAAAATCCTGACAGGCAGTGTATGCCATATTTATTCCTCATCTATAGGACCTCACTTTTAGCTAAAGATGTATGGGGAGTTAGAATAGGACAGCTGGTGGAATCCTCTCTTGTCTATGTAAATGAAAGGGTATGAAGACAATCCTCCCTCCACAGCCCAAAAGCCCCCACAAAAAAAACAAAACAGTTTTGTTTCACCTTTCTACCCTCTCCCATTTCCAAGTCTTTCTTCATGCTATCCTAGAACACAATAATCTATCCCTTCCATCTATGCCAGGTGGAATTCTCTTCCTTCAAAGTCCAACAGAGGTTGGTTCTGTTGTTGAGTTGTTTCAGTTGTCTCTGATTTTCTGTGACCCTATTTGGGGTTTTCTTGACAAAAATACTGAAATGTTTTACCATTTTCTTCTCCAGCTCATTTTACAGATAAGGAACTGAGGCAAACAGGATTAAGTGACGCCCACAGTCACAAAGCAATTAAGTGTAGGAGGTCAAATTGGAACTCAGGTTCTCCTGACTCCAAGCCTGGTGCTCTATCCATTGGGCCACTTAGCTGCCCTAGCAACTGAGGTTGGATCTCATTCAATCCAAAGCAATTCAACAAGAATCCACTATTTGTATAATACTGTGATAGATTCTAGAGGTACAAAGATAAGACAAGATAAATTTCTCGTCCTCAAAGGGAGGAGAAAGGAAGATGGAATATATTTGCAACTGAGGGAGAAAGCAGTGACAACTAGAGGTATCTGGAACGGTTCTTATAGGAGGTAGTACCTGACCAGAGGCTTGAAAGAAGCTAGAAATTCCAAAAGGAAGAGGTAAGAAGAGAGTTTGTTCCAAACATGCTAGACAGTCTGTGCAAAGGCAAAGAAACAAGTGATGGGAATACCAAGTTGGAAAAATGGCAAGTAGGAATTTGACTAAAACTGGTAGAACCATTCGTTCAGTCTTCCCAGGCCAATCAACAAGCATTTATTAATGTGCCTACTATGTGCCAGGCACTGTGCTGAGCAATGTGAACAAGAATGCGAAGAATT